GGAAGTTGCACATGCAAAAATGCAAATTCCGTAACGCGCTATACGAAAATATAAATAAATAAAATTCCGTAATAAAGCATTGCGAAAGAAAACTTGCGAAACAAATCATTTCGTAAGAATACTTACGAAATAGTTCCTTACGGAAAAAGCATTCCGGAATGTGCAGTTACGAAAAAGACGCAAAAGATTTTAGGTTACGATATATTAAAGATAATAACTGTTAACAGTTTAAATAATAAATAATAAAATTATAAAAAAATGTTGTCAAATGATTCTTCAAATGTTTATACAAATATACCTAATATATATATACATATATATATATATATATATATATATATATATATATATATATATATATATATATATATATATATATATATATATATATATATATATATATATATATATATATATATATATATATATATATATATATACATATATATATACAGTAAAATCCCGTTAAGTTGGACTCTCAATGAACAGATAAACAGTATGCCTTTCTTTTTAAAAAGTATATAGATGATGTGTGATAAACAATTAAATACTTTATTATAAAGAACGAGAGATCTCTCTAAAGGTAAATGATATCAGAAAGAGTAAAAAGAGAAGAAATATATGTGAAACAGCGAGATGTGAACCTGGGTCTACGCGGCCAAATGTCTTAACTGAATGAGCTATACGTTCATTCAACTAAATGAATAGTAATATTTATTTATTATATAATTAAGAAACTATATAAAACAGAATTTACAGAAAGAGATACGTATGCAAATAGGATTCTATATATCAGGTAAATGAATAGTAATGTGAACCTTTAGTTGCTTATAATTAATATCTGGACTCAAAAACTAGTTACTTTTAATGGAGCACAATAGGCTGTAGGAGCCTCAGGGAAATTATATTCAGAAATGATTATATTAGACTCAGAGTTAGCTAGAAATTATTACAAAGTGTTTAGGACAGATGTCGTGTACAAAAAGCACAAGATTTAAAGTAAAATGTTTTATATTATTTGAAAAAGTTGTTTTACGTACATTTCATCATAATTTAAGTAGAACTTAGTAAAGCAAGGGAAACGTGTAGAATTAAGCACAATGAACTCAATCTTAAAAGAATAACTAACAGAAGAGAGGTTGTCACTATTATAAAGGTGACGAAAGATCTGTAATATAGAACATGGAGGTCAAAAAATGCTATCTTAAGTAAAAATAGTTTGACAAACAAAAGTTACAATGGCTGCGGGATGCGAACCCGGATCTCTGCGGCGAATTATCACGTATCTAACTGATTAAACTATACGATCTTATACTTAAATTTATATCTTATGAAAATTAAAAAACAATATTTTCTAAGATCTATACTTCGAAAAGCGTATTCAAACAGGACTCTACATACCTTTAAAATCTGCTAGAACTTTACACTTTTAGAAATTATTGAAATAGGTATATTTTATCAGAAATATGCTTAAGCTAAAGCATATTTTTGAGCCTCTTTTTACTATATGCTTAAGCATATTCGAACCTGTTTCAAAAAATTCATATGCTTTAAAAAAACAAAACATGTATATTCCTACCTATCATTCTTATTTTTAATATACGTAATGAGTTCAAAAAACATCGTTATATATATTTATTATGGCACGTTTCGTAAGTTTATTTCCGTTAAGAATTCTTTCGTATGTTATGATCCGAAATACTTTCGTTTCGAAAGAAATTTTATTTTTTATCAATATTTCTAAAAATAAAGCCATAAAAATTTTATATGTTATTATACTGAAAATAAAAATTCATTATAAACATTTTGGGATTTAAAGATGTTAATTTTTACAATTAAAATCAGTCTGGCAAACAAATTTTCTTTATAGACTTCAAAACGTCGTTTGGCGAAAATGTTTGTTTCGCAAGTGCGACTTCCGAAACCGCTACTTTTGTATGTTGCAAAATAGTTTTGTTTCGTATGTCAACTTGCGAAATGCTAAATTTCGGAATTGGCTTTTGCGAAATGAACATCGGCGATTTTAAACGTTTTGTAACATTCGGTACGAAAAAATGTAATTCCGTGTTCTCAATCTCCTTACGAAAGAATGTTGTTTTTCCGGAATTGCACGAAATCCTCCGCTTAACAACCCTAGTTTTAGCTTTATAAACAGATAAAACTGTAATTAAATTTTTTAAAGAGAATACAATTATGTATATAAAAACTTTTTTTTTTTCAAATAATTAAAAAGCTTGGAACCAATATTTGTCCTCCAGCACTGTATTTTTTGCCGATGGCCCTATATACAAATATTTTTGTAATGACTTGCTTAAGACATCCTTACGGACACTTAAACTGCTGCTGTAAGCAGACAAATTAAAGTTTTAATTACAAAAGGTAGTAATTATTGGAATAAAGTCATTTCTTGTTCACAGTTCTTTAAATATTAAAGCTTAACAACTACGCAAGTAGATGTCATAGTATTATTATTTCTTCATAAATATTACTCAAGATTACCTTCTCATAAACAATTGAATCACGCATAGCAGTAGTAAGTGGTATTTTTTTTCTTTTATATGCACATTTATTATACATGAACAATATTTGTTTATATGTATATTAGGGATGCGCCGAGCGTAAAAAATATCTTCAAACAGTACTTTTAGACAACTTTTTTTCAAGACATTTTTTACACTACTCCTAGATTAAAAAATTAGTAATGAAACATAAATAATGTAATAAATAAAAAACATTAAAAACATAATTAATAAGGTAAAATAAAAAATAAAAATAAAAACATTAAAAATAGGGTAATTTTGGCAGGGTGATAATTTTAGCACCCCTTCAAAAGACACCTAAAATATTTATTTGTTTGGCTGTTCAAATCGTGTTTGGGTATTGAAGCAAGGTAAACTATATTCCTAATAAATAAGGTTTAAACTTCTTTTTTTTTGTAATATAGGTACGCTGATTTATGATTATCATCTTTGTCTAAACATTTTTATCTTTTTCAAAATGATAAATGATTTTTTTTTTTTTTACTTTAGCAAAAATTTTTTATTTATTTTACTCACTAACATTTTAATAACGCGCTGAATGAAAAATAATCTGAATTATACCTTAAGTGAAAGTTACGTTAAAACTTTTAACTAATGTTTTTATAATAGCGAAACGCTTTAAAATAAAGGAACAATTTATTGATAAACGCTTTAAAATAAAGTAACAAATTATTGATAATTAAAGTATATGTCACAGTTCTATATAAAGGGGGAGCAATTTTCATAGCAAAAAAATCAATATTCCTGAGACACGAATTGATGCCTATTATTTATAAGATGAAAGTAAAAAAAATATTTTTTGATTTTGATTAGATCTTAAGGTTCCTCTTTGGATTATAAATTCTTGACGGGTACTAATATTTTTGAATTTTGTTTCAAAACCATATCAACCTTGAACTCAAAAAAGGCAGGAAAAAATGCTTGTTTGATAAATAACAATTTTAATAAAAAAAAATTTTAGTGAAAAAAATATTTGCAAAAATATACCTTGAAACCCCCGTTTTGTCGAAGACTGGGATTTCAAGGTATAAATAGAGCTGTTTTTATGAAAAAAAAACAGCTCTATTTTTTCATTTTTTAATTAAAACAAACAATATTTTCAAAATCAGCATAATATTATGCTTCTTTTGAGTACCAGGTTGATATAGTTTAGAAGGAAAAAATTTTTTAACAGTATAGTTTGCAGATTTCCACTTTTTTTTTATACAAGTAAACAAATCGTTGAACAGCAAGTCTAAAACCAACGTATTTATATTTTGCAAATTTTGGCTAATGCTACAATATATATGCTGCGTGGACTACTAATTCTTGTTAGTAATTAAGTTACTGCAAGTATTACTAATTAAAATTAAAATTAATTAAATTACAGTAAGTGTTAGTTATTAAATTACTAACAACTACCTAAAATATGTTGTTTATATGCAAATTAAGGTAGCTATAGCAACCAAAAAAAATTAACCTCAGAATTCTGAATCTCATTTTACTACATACCCCCAATATTGTGAACTTAGCGCAAATAAAATACTGTTAAAACAAAAATGAGTAGTTGCTATGCAATATTTAGTACCATGGCAACCAATTTAAAACATGTGATATCTCACGGTCGTTTACGAGCGCTATGTTTAGGTACGCATGCGTAAGAAAATAACTACAAGTTATGAACTTTTAAAATGGCTGCGGTTCTTAACTACAGTGAACATTTTATATAACAACCATTCATTTGTTATTTATTTCTTATAAATTCATGTTGTTGGCTCATTTTTTATATAGATCAGTAAATAAATACCTGAATTTCATAAGAGAATCGATAAATAAAGATTAAAACAATCTTAGCGTAATAAAACTTCAATTTTATAGTATCATTATTTATTAATATTGAAGATTTGTTTATTTCTTTGAAATCAATTTTCTAGAAATCTAACCGTAGAAAATCAAATTTTTTTTTTTTTAACATTAAATAAATCTGTGCTGTATTTAGAGTATTTTTCTAGTAATTGCTTCAACTTTTTTTCGATATAAAAATATACTATGACTCAAAGTAAATATAATAATTACATACACTTCATTATATTACGACATATAAAGTTAGTAGGCAGTTATAACTCAATTTTTATATGAAAAGTTGTTGTTTTTAGTAGTTATTTGTTTTTATTTTATCTCTTCAAGCAAATGTATACAGCTATGATATTATTCATCAACCATTCTTGCTGAATATATAGAAACAAAAATATAAATATACTTTAATATATATATATATATATATATATATATATATATATATATATATATATATATATATATATATATATATATATATATATATATAGAGAGAGAGAGAGAGAGAGAGAGAGAGAGAGAGTGAGAGAGAAAGAGAGAGATAAATACATACATATATATAACCAAAATATGCAGATGTTTATTAATTTATAATAAATTATTTTATTTAGATACCACTATTATGATTTTCATTGTATATACTGTGGTTAAGTGTCAATAGATTCAAAAAATAATAGACTTTTAATGTTGATTGATTTTTGATTCCTTGACACATAAATTTGAAGTTGGTGCAAATATTTTGAAAAATATAGAAATAAATTATGTATATGATTCCGTCAACCTTTTTTGACAACAAAGCTCAATAGTCTACAAAGAAAAATAGCTTTATGTTATTGGTGAGTAAATTTCTAAACTTATCTTATGTTTAAAAATCTTATGTTTTGTATTTTATGTATTACTCTGAGGTGCCAAATAAACGGGATGGGGTCATTATTAAAGAAATGTTTAGGATTAATTTTTATAACAATAAAAATTAATCCTAAAAATAACACACAATACTTAAACAGTCTCTAATATATATATACATATATATATATATATATATATATATATATATATATATATATATATATATATATATATATATAAATCTCTTTATTTTTTTCCCAATAAGTTCTAAATATAAAATAAATATTTCTTTTTTACAATTATTTACATTTTCTTTTTTTTTTATTTACAAAACTACCATTTAAATATTTTTTTAGTAAATAAAGTTTCATAATAAATAAAGTTTTATGTTAAATAAAGTTTATTTCTTTTTTCTTTTTTTTATTGCTCGTGTCAAAATTCTATTTTGACAATTTGTTTTTAGATGGTGGGCTTTAAGGATACATTTTAATCGTTTTGTACGACAAGGATTAGATTGATATATCATACTTAATTTGTTAAACTCGTGATGAATCGATTCACCTCCTTGTTCACCATACAAACCAAACCCAGCACCCCATTTTTGTAAAAATGGAATAGCGTGATCTTCCATCATGTGTAATTTGGGCGTGACTGAAGCTTCTGGCCAATTGACTCGATAAAATTTCATAAAATTAGAAATATATGTCTCTAAAGATAAAAAAAACTTTTATAAAGAGAGCATGTAATCCCATTCATTTTATCTTACTATAAATTATCTTGCTAGATATGTTTGCTTATTTAACAAGATTATTTAGTCAAAGTATTAGTTTTAGTCAGTATGGGTCATACAGACCAGTATGGGTCATATATCAGTTAGTATGGGTCAAGCATGTTTGTTAAATGTGTTTTTTGCTTCCACAACCTCCTCTGCCCTTTAGCTATCACAGCCTATCATGGTTGCGCTGTACATTTATTTTTTGACAAAATTAAAATGGTGAACATACCGAGTTGTGTTAATTCACTGGTACTTATATTTTTTGAGGAGAATATGTGATAACAGTTAGAAAACTTATAGAAAAGCTGTTTATATTTGTTGCAGACTTCAATTGATTTTTCATGAAGAGTAGTTCCAGAAAATCCTTTTATATGAACAAGTATAGGAACAGAATTGCATAGCTCTAATATGGATTCTTCCTATAAAATAACAAATAATACATTTAATAAATAAGCAATTAATACATAGTAATATTATAAATAAGAAAATATTACATTTTTATTGTTTTTATTAGATTTAATATTTTATTTTATTGTTATTAGATTTTATAAATAAAATAAATCCCTACTTTGAGCATTTTATGTACATGGTTACCAATAAAACTTTTCTCATGATATGCTTGTCGCTGAACATTAAGTTTTTGTAATATCACCTCTATCTGTTGAGTGCATGGTCCCTCACTTTTCTGAAATGCTGAGCTTTTTTCCAAAGCTTTTAACTCTTGTATCTACACAATTGTTGTTGTTTTTTAACAGATTTTAATATTAGTATGATTTAAATAAGAGATTTAACATGATTTTAGTTTTAGCATGAGTACTAGACTGACAGCTACCATAGCTACCATTATCTGTGTTCAGTAAGCTACTGATTTGATGTTTTTTTTGTACTTTGGCTGCAGCATTTTGTTTTTTGAACTTTTGAATTTGCAGTAGCTAAAACATTGCAAATCATTTGTGTTTTATTATTGTAAATACTCATAAAACAGCTGCATTGATACTTAAAACTAATTTTTGATAATTTTCATAAAATCAAACCGAACCTTATCCCAAACCTTAGATCTAACCAAACAGAACCCAAAATCTAAAGTTTTTCTGAACAAAAGATTCAATTCCTATCTCTAATTTAAATAATAATGTGCTTAGAATAAATAATAGTTAAAATTATATAATTTATGTTTATTAGTTATTAATTTTAAAGATATCCTTACTTTTTCCATATGTGCTCTGTTTAGAGAACCAAGTTGAGGGATGTATATTGACTGAACATTTTCTACATTTTCAGGATTATTTAATATAGCTGCAGCTACAGCATCATTTACTAGCTCAATTTGATCGTTAAGATTAGCGATACAGATTTCAAGATCTGATATATGTTGTTGTTTTAAAATAAAGTCTTGATATGAGTCATATAAAAACTGTCTTTATTTTTTATTGATGCAGCCATCATAATATCAACTTCATGGGCTGCTTCTTCAAACATGTTAAAAATTTTCAAATATACACCAAGAGCAATATGCAGACTTGGTAAAGAAACCTATGTACATACACAGGTAGGAGTTATAATTAAAATATTATTATTATTGACGTATATTAATTTTATGTTACAAATAGCCATCAGAGAAAACTACTGAAAATAGACAACCTAATTTTACCTGATCTAGAGGTATTTTTAAAATTGGTTCTGTAATAACATTATTGTAATATTTAGCATTTTCCTTTGCGCCACCATTTTTCTTAAATCTTTCGAAATCATTTTGAAGGCTTTCAATCGTACGTAGTTCTATAACAGGTCTTTCTTTTTTGAAAACTTTCATTTCATTTGCTGTTGCATGACAGAACAAACAACAGTGTTTACCTAAAATTTGAATTATGTATAGGGTTAATTGAATTATTACAGTCTACTCTGAATACCTCTAATACTCTATATCTTAAGATATCAAGAGTAGACAATATACTAATATTATGCTAGTCACAACGTAACACAATATCACAAAAGCTAAAGACTAACTTTATATGTATTGTATAAAGTAATAAAACAGCATACCAGAAGCTCCTGAAATTCCATACAATGCACAAAGAAATTCATAATCACCAAAGATAAAAACTCTAATATTATTGCCCCTAAATAAAGCAATATATTCACAAATTGATATTCAAGAATATGTTGGTTTATGTATAGTTTCCTACTATTGTATCGTTCCAGTATTGATTAATAAAATTTCTCAACATACCTATACTTCATTGTTTGTAAGTCTTCTATTTGTTTTTGAAATCTTGTCATGCCTACTTTAATATTAACTCTGAGGTCTTTTGATTCAAATATATTAAAAACAATTGTATTTTCTGTACTATTTGGATTTAAGGTAATAACAACCTGATAACACATCTTAAAACTTCTTCCACCATAATCTCCTCCAATTTTAATTTTAATTTCTTTTTGTGGAATAAACTTATGATACACAAGACTGTTACAGCTATTACAAATTTAAATGATAAGTTGAATAATACTACAAAACAGTATTCTATATATATACAAATAAGGTAAGTTTCAAAAATCAGAAATTAGATGCTAAAATTAGATGCTAAGATATAAATTCTTACCTTTCTAATTGTTCAAGATGAGTAAAAATATGCTTTGGTAAATCTGCAATATAACCCCAAGGTACCTCATTAATTTCAATCTTTCCTTTTTGTTCCTTTTTAAATGTGAAAGGAGCATTTTCAACAATAATGTCGTTTCCCGACCAATTTTCAGCTACAACTCTTTGTGAAGCATTAGATGCAGTGGTTATATCATATTTTTTGAGCCATCTAGTAAAAAAAATTTGTTACAGTAAATGTATATATATTTAATCAAAAGTGCCAAAAAGTTAAAAATGTCATATATTTATACTTACCTAGACATTACTTTAAGTTTTTCCCATGGGATACCCATATCAGTTTTCATAGCTACCATCACATTTGCACTTATTTTAGTGTGATTTAGTTTTGTATTACTTAATATTGACTGTCTCTGATCTGGTTCAAATGATAATAACAATTTACTTGTTTGACTTATACTTGAATCGCATGAAATGCCAGCTACAGTCTCAAAATGTTTCAAAATATTTGTATTACGAAGTCGCAAAGTAGATTCTGCTGCCTGAGCACTGTTAACATAAGCTTTTGGTGTCTGTGTAAAAACGATTGGCTGTTAAGAAAAAATCAAAAACATTAAGTTCTATGACTTAATAACTTTTTTAATGTTTATGCAAAAAAAAAGACTTACTCTAGGTCCTCCACTTTTAAATTCTACTGACTTTCCTCCAAATTTAGCCATCTTTTGCTTAATGACATGAAGCGCAGCTTTTTCTACCTCATATGGAATATCACTATTTTCATTTATCTTAAAAACATCATTGACACTAATACTTGCTGCAAACGATTGAGGAACTGATGCCTCTTTAAGACAAATGCCTTTATGACTCTTATATAATTCATACTCTTTCAATAAATTAAATTTACTATTGCAAAAAGAACAAACAATAGTAAGCATCCTTAGAAGAGAATCAGTTTGCTTACTTGTGAACAAATCATCATAAAAAACTTTTTTATTGCATTTTGGACAAAAGGTTTCATCAAGATACTTAAACTTGATTTTTTCCACAATACATAAAAAACAAAATAAATGTTTGCATCTTTTTAATGAAACTGGTGTTTGTGGTATCTTATTACATATACAACAGAGACAAAGCTGCAAGAAAGGGTTTAAGTCATTTTTTAGTTCTAATATGTCAATATCTTCATTTAAATTGTAAATAGGTATAAGGTTTTCTTTAATTGAAGTAAACATAGCAATTGTCCAACATTTTCTATATTTTCCAGGTAACTTCGATTTTTTTAAACTTTTTGCTTTTTTTAAAAATGAACGTGTAGAAATTGTTGTATTTTTTTTCTTTTTCAGCAATGTGACATGTCGCACAGTTTATGCTATGCGGTTGCCACTCATTGAATAAAAGCAGTGCTGTTGTTGTTTTTCTTTTTATTTAATTATTGATAGTACAACAACATTTATGGCAGATTTTTTCCGGATGAATAGTTTTTATTTCTGTCAGCTTAACAAGAAATACTTGCTCAATTATGATTTTGATTTTATCAGTTACATTATATTGTCTTATCCCAACCCATTTTGCACATATTCGGCAAAGGTAGTTTTAATTTTTGTTATGTAATTCCATCTAAAAGCATTACTTAATATTAAAATTAGTCAAAAAAATAAACTAACTATTAATATATAAATATATAGCATTAAAATATTTGTGAAAAACTAGTGTTGGTGTCTATTAGTCTATTTTAAACTGTGTCTAGCAACAGCACATACTTACACATATGTGTAAGTACCTTATTATACAGTAAATAATACAGTATAATAATATATTATGTATAGGCATATTTATTATATTGTATTTAACTATACAGTGATATGCAACCCTTGTTGGCATTATTTTGAACTATAATTATATATATTATATATATATTTTTTCCAATATTGATCAACATGTAGTAGTATACATCAGATACTATAACACTTCCTTTGTTTACAGTGATTTTTTGGTTGGTGCTTTAACTTTTTTTCGATATAAAAATATATTTCTGCTCTTACGACTATCCCTAAATAATAAAGTGTTTTTCTTTCTTTGTAGTTATATAATATGAGTTTTAAAATAAAAAAAATACTTTATTATATCAGGGTATAGTGACTTTTTCCCTGATATAATAAAGTGTGTTTTATTCCTTCTTATGCATAAGAGCAGAAGTATATTTTATATAGAAAAAAAGTTGAAGCAACAACCAAAAAATCACTATATATAGAGGAAATATCGTTTTAAAATTTAAAAAAAAAATTTTTCAATTTCTACGGTTAGAAGTTGAGAAAATCGATTTTAAAAAAATAAACAAATTACTGACTCATACTAAAATAGCATTCGAGGAAACTGAAGGTTTAATACGCCAAGATCATTCTCAGCTTATTTAAATTTTTTAATTATGAAACTAAGTTATCTATCTTCTGATTTACTGCAATTATAAGATAAAAATAGTAAGTTGCGATTAACAAACCTACAACAAAAAGATCGTCATATAAAATGTTCGCTGTAGTTAAGGACCGCAGCCATTTTAAAAGTTCAAAACATTTTTAAATTAATTGACGCTTGCGTACCTAAACATTGCGCTTTTCCTAATATCGAAATGACCGTGATCTGAACAGGAATTTAAGGGGATGAATTTAAGGAAATAATCAACTCAAACTTGATTAAAGCATCATATAGCTTAAACAAAAATAAGGCAGCACTTAATAATTATTAGTTATAGTGCGGCAAAAAATAAATTTCTTAGTGTTTTTTTTTTTTAATTTGTGATTTTCAAAGTATAACTGAAATAACATGCTATGACATATTTATTTCACACATTGGTTTTTCTTATCTTTATATACTCTAGAATAACATGTACTAATTATTCGTTTTTAAAACGTAGATGTAATTGAAATATAACAGTGTTGATGTCACCGTAAATTACTTATTTATAATTTTTTTTAAATTTCAATATTGAAATGCTTAGAGTCATGGTAACAAAGGGATTTAATATAAATAAATTATCAATAAATTTCTCCTAATATATGTAGATACTAAAATTAAATAAGTTTTCAAGATTAAGAAAAGACAACTAAAGTTTTTCCCATTTTGTCCACCAACTGGTCCGCTGTGCACTGGGTAACCGACTAAAAAATAATAAAACAAAAATATCCTCGATTTTATTGTGCGGCCCCTTATGCGTTAGGGCAACCGAACATAAGAGGCCCGATAATAAAATTGCGCACCTGGTGCTGGGTGAGCCCTGCTGTTAATACGAAACTGACGGTACATTTAATTGCTTTTTTATTACACTAGTTTTATTACGGTAGTGTACACCTTTATTACGTTCACTGAAATATAACGCAGAACAGAAACATGACAAAAATAGTTATTTTAAAATAAACAATTAATTAATACGAGCGTTATACCATGTTCACACTAGCGATGTTCGGCGGAACATTATTCCGGAACAAATGTTCCTGGAACAAAATGTTCCACAAAATGTTACTTGTAGCGTTCACATGTAAAATTGGCTTGACGGTACATAAAAGAAAAAACGAGTAAAAAAACGGTAAGTAAAACTCGAATAAAAATTAGTGAAAAACAGTTTGGCAAATACACATTGTTAATATAATTTATTAATTTTTAATATTTATTCATTTATGAGAGGTAAAACTAAATGCAAATAACGCTGAGGGTTCAGCTAGCTCAGAGTTAGACAATAGAAACACAACCCAAAAAACCCGCCATACAAAAGGTGACGTTGGAATTTTGTTATCCCGTTTCTTGGCTTTTATAGATAGGTCATATCTCCTTTAGTCGCTTTTGACGACACAGAATAGTAGTCCATCAGTGGTATAGTACCGAATAAACATATTATACATTAATATGTTACCCACGACCAGTTAAAACTAATCTCATTTTTAATATCTTTTAATCATAATAATATTTTTAATCATATTTAATATTTATTTATTTAGACACATTTGATAACCTCAAGGAAAGTAAGTTTAGTTCAAAACTACTAAATACATAACCATATTACAGCTAAAACTTTAAATAATAAATGATATTATTACTACTTTATAAATAAAATGATATTATTACTACTTTACTTGTCCCTTTCATAAAGGTATTTAGCAATTGAGTCACGAACATTTTTTCCTGGTCCATTATTCCCAGTTGTAGAAACTGTATTGGGTTGAGCTAGACTGTCATCATGATGATGCAGAAGCCATTCTATTATAATAATATCGTCATAATATTCACAAATGTTGTGAAGAGTGACGCAAGCATTAACAATTCTTGTAGCAAAGTTAATATCGCATTCCATACGTTTGCAAATTACACGGAATCGAGCTTTAACGCGCCCAAAGGCATTCTCAACTACTCTTCTAGCTCCGCAAAGTATTTTGTTGAAATTTTTTTGAATTTCACTAAGCTCCAAATTTTCAGGATAAGGTTTTAACAAATGACGCGTTAAAGGAAATGCTGAATCACCTATCAAACATAGTGGAACAAGAGAATCGCCCAGCTCTTTACAACATTTATCAAATAGATTTGATTCTAAAATTTCTTTTAAAGAAGAATTCTGCAAAATATAGCTGTCATTATTTCTACCAGGCGATCCAACACTTGTATAAATGAAACGGTATCGACTGTCTACAACGGCAAAAAGTACAATGGTATACCACCCTTTATAATTATAATAAGAAGTTGCTTGATCTTTAGGGGCTGAAATAGGGATGTGGCATCCATCAACAGCTCCAACGCATTGTGGAAAACCAAGAATAGCTTCGAAATCTCTACTATGTTTATTTAAATTTTCCACTGACAATGGAAATTTAACATACTTAGGGAGCAAAATGTCATGAACAGCATTAATAAATTCATGAACAATTAAATTTGCTGTTGACTTTCCTATGCCAAAAAGGCTAGACACAACACGATACTCTTCACATGAAGCTAGATAATGTAATGCAACTGCAACACGTTTTACTACTGAAATAGGTTCTCGCATAGTTGTGGTAGTTTTGCCTAAATGTGGATGCAATTCATTAACTAGGAAATTAAATGTGTTACGATTTACTCGAAAATGCTCTTTAAATTCACATTCCTCCATTTGAGTAAAAATCTCATTAAACCATTGAAAACTTTTTGGCCTAACTCAAACTTTTCTTTCAATCAGATACCCTTGTTGATTTAACTTAAAGGAAGCTAAATCTAAATATGAAAATGGGTGGGTGATTGATTCATCATTGATTAATGTTCTTCTTCTTAATCGAAGTACGGCTAAAACGCTTTCCATGTTTTTCCAATAGCTTTTTCCTTTACCGATGTCTCCCTAAAAAACTATTAAAACTATATAAATATATTAAATAAATATAATACTTATTATATTACAATTCAAGGGATATTAAAACACATTTTTAAAAACCATTTTGTTAGAATTGATACAGCATGATCTGTTAACAAAAACAAAAATGAAACGTGTAATGCAATTTGTATAAATTAAAAACAAAACACGTTGGCAAAAAACATATCACTATAATTCATCTACAGGCTTGCTTCATATTGCAAAAAAAAAATTATTTGGTAAAAATACTTAATATATATAGCATAGAGATACAAGAAAAGGTATTTATAAAATAACATGACAAATTTAAAAAATACCACCAGATATGCATTTTAATGCTTGAAATCACAAAATATTTTTATTTTATATAAAGTAAAAATTCCTTTGATAATAGTAATATGGTAACATGAAAAAATATATATAAGTAGAGCTTCATCTACAAGCTTGTACAATATTTCACTAACCATCTCTTTAGTTAAAACATTGAAAAACCTTATGAAATATATATTGCATAGAATTGTAAACAAGGTATACTGTTGAAAAAATACTGACCTTTCAACTTTAACATAATTACTAAAAAGATATCTTGACTAATAGAACACCTTATTTTTTTATTAAAAATTTATAATATTCTACTTGGGCTTTAGACACATCTACTTGGGCTTTAGGTGCATTTTCAATTGCATCGCAAATACGCTCTAAAACAACAACCTCTCTGATTCGTAGCTCTTGTGAACGGATTTGAACATCTAGATTTTTATTTGCTATTTTTAAATATTCAGAAAAAAAATTTGTTTTTTTATTTTTTCTCACCGGTTCAGTTTTGGCTATTTTATTCAAAGTTTTTTCATCATCAGGGCTCCTCCGTTTATTGCAGCCGGATGTAGATTGAGTTGGTTCCTCATCAGGAATAGTGACAATTGATTGCACATCGCTTGTATCATCCAAAGCTTCAGTATTTAAAATACTGACAGTCTCCTTGCCATCTTCCATTGTGGCAATCTGTAAATAAAATATACACATTAAAAAAATTACACATTTGAGAAATGATTATAAATCATGTTTCAATCAAAATTTATCTCTTGACTTTGAAAGACTTGACTTGAAGTCATTTTACTCCCTTCCTTCCCTAAACAAAGAGGATCTATTTAGACAATAGCATTTTACAAATATCCCTTTTATAATTCAAAAACTTTATATTATATGTTTTTGATCTTTATGTTTTAAGTCTGCCAAATGTTGCAAAACTAAGAACCTCTTAAACCTTATTTTTTAGAAATAGTTAACATGCTTGTTTACATTACTTTAAAAATATATAGCACTTTAAAAAATACAACAATAAATTATACTAAACTTACCTGACCATCTTGAAAATCTTGAGTAGAAAAGTTTTGACTTTGAGATAAAAGGTCATTGTCAAGGGAAGCTTCACCACCTATTATTTTGGCAACAATATCGTAAGGCCACCATTTACTAGGAGCTCCTCCCGATGAACCAACTTGAAGTTTTTCTCGTCTATGAAAAATATACATAAATATAAGTAAATATAAGCACATCATTAACACCGTATAACATTAATCAAATAACTTTAAATCGACAAATTATTATTAACAAAATAATTATTAACAAAATTAACGAATTATTAACGAATAATAAAATAACAAAATATTAACAAAATAATTATCAACGAGCTGTAAATCTTTAATACTGAATAAGATTTAAGTAATTTTTAATATAACACTTAAACACTCAGTTACAAACTAAATTGCAATTAGATATTATTACACATGGTTAGTTTTGTAAAATACTTTCAGTATTTCAGTAAGGTATCAAACATTAAATGTAGAATATGTACATACCTAAATTGTTTCCTCAAATTACTAATTTTAGATTGAATTTGATATCCAGTTAACGGAGGTACGATATTAAATGTGTTTGAAAATTCAGCTGCCATTTGTTTGTAAATATTTGTGTTTCTTCTTGCAGATGTTAATGCATTGTAATTATCTTTCCATAAATCTAATAATACTCTTGTGTTAGCCATATTCCATACAAATTTGTTTAAAGGAGATGTGCAAAGTCCAATATTTGTTGTGCTAGCGTCAATACACTCTTTTTCTGAATGCTGAGACATTGTGTAAAATTAAAGTTATACCTACTAAAAAGGATAAGTACATTGAATCTTGCAACAATAACAACAACAACAACAAAAAGAAGAGAAATAGTTAATAATAAAATTAAAGGTTAAACTTCATAATTGCTATAAATGTTATGGGCTTAAAATAAGTTAATAATGTTATGGGCTTACTAAATAATTTAATAAATTGCCAAAAACTGGTAGCCAAGAGAACAGAAACTTTCAGATGCTACTTTTACTTTTTTTTACTTTTCCATGCAATGTGATAATTATGTTATTTAATAACATTGATCTTTCAACACTATTGTTTATTTTTATTTTTAAATGTCAATAATTGTAGTACATTGTGGCAAAGATATAAGGTACAGTCATATCAATACAGTCAATCAATAATATATATTCTGAATAAAGATCTTATTTTCACAATTATTCACAAACAGTAAAATAACTAATATTAAGTAAATACAGAATATTTATGAGGAAAATACTAATGGTAATGTTCACAAATTAAAATAACAAGATAAGATAAAGCTAATATAATAAAATATATATGACATATAAATAAAATATATGACAAAGCTCATATATAACAATATATACCAATAATAATATCAATAATAATGTTAATATAAATAATAATAACAATGATGATAATAATGATAATAATATTAACAATTGTTATTGTTGTTATTTTTATCATTATTATTACTATTATTATTCTATTATTATAATTATTATTATAATAATAATTATTATTTTTATTATTATTATCACTGTTGGCAAGGCCAATGATAAACAAATCTGCTTATTAGTTCAAAGTTGAATTTTATAAATAAAATTACTATAAGTTTATTAAAAATGCATTAATAGCAATGCTTGCAAAGAATATAATTAAATAAAAACTATTAAACAATGAAAATTAAACTTTCTTAACGCAAGTTAAATGTTACCTTGAATTATACTTCTTGTTAATTCAAATTAAAACTGATCTTAATAAGAATAATACTGTCTTTGTAATGTTATATTTTAAGATTAAGTTTTTAAACACACATATATAACTTTTTTTTAAATTAATAATACACTAATAATTAAATTTCTATTCTATTTATACAAATTTTAAATATCGTTAAAAATAACTTGAAATTTGTAATGGTCAAATAATTGTTTTTTAAACAATTGCCCACCATCTGGTCTACTCATGATTGATCCCACACGAGTGGGATCGGAATTTCCTTGGTTGCATGAAATTACCACAAGTTTTTACTCAATGAATAAATATATGAAATTATATTTAAAGAAATGTTTTGAATTAAATAAAAAAGATAGAAGGCAAAAACTAAAAGTTTCAAGGCAACATGTTGAAAGGCAAATAGTATATCGATAATCTTGTCTTGATATATGACCAAGACCTAGGACAATGCAGAGATCAAGGACTAAAAACTCTGGTTAAGATGACAACAACTTTGTAAAAAAAATAGTTTGAGTTACTTTTACAACAAATTTGCATCTTGCAATGTATTTTTATTGAATCATTTAGCTTATATGCATACGCTTATTTTAAAAATAGTTGAAAATAGGCACCATTTTTTATACAAAACCAAATAAATGTTCCGGAACATTTATTTGTTCTGGGTTGGCGGGACGGTACAAAAGTTCCTCAAATGTTCCTTGAATTTTTGTTCCGTTTGCGTTCACACGAGAGGATATTTGTTCATGTTCCATGTTCCACGGAATGTTCCATCAAATGTACCCTCGTGTGAACAGCCTATTACGATAAGTTATATATATAAGTATTTAGATACAATCATAAAAAGTATTTTGGCTCTATCTAAAGTGTTAAATTATATTGTTTTTGGAAAGAAATTTAATTTTCTCAGAAACAGAAATTATATTCTGACTTACCATTAAATTAAAAGCATAAAAATAAAATATCCTGTACAGATACAAGAATATCTCAGCGGAATACACAACAATGCTCTTAATAACTTAAAGTAAAAGTATGATAATGAGAGTCTTTTTCCAGCAATAAATTACATTATTAGTTACAAAAAAATAAAACAGGAAACCAAAAAAAAAGAAAAGAAAAAAAGAGCAGCATTGAGTTATTCTTTTTTTTGCAAGCAGAACTGTTAAAAAAGCACAAAAATTTTATTTATTTTTTCTCTTTTCATTTCATTATTGAATTTGTATAAATAATATAAACGAGATCAAAGCACCAGTACTGCTTAATTTTTATTTTGACATATATGGCTGGAAAAAGAGATAAAGACAGAAGATTATCTAAAAGATCTTTATTTGGAACGCAAGCGTTTATCAACATACATCGTCAAAAACGTTTTTCTTTATCTCAAAGAAACATAGAAACTGTAGAATCTAGAGGTCAATCTGGCGGCAGTAATACATATTCAAGTATATTCGTAAACATATTTTGTATAATGAGATATGAAAAAGTCTAGCTAATGAAAATAGAACGTAATAATAATATTATAAAATTATAACCGATAAAAATACTCTAGTACAGTCATTAAATTGGTCTTTAATTTGCGTTGATACGTGAAATATATTTTAACGAATTTATTTTTGTATTATAGTTTCGAACTCTGATACTGACGATGATCAAATTATAAAATCAGTTTGTAAAATGAAGCCATTGTCCATTAAGTCACTTTTTTCATTTATTTCCGAAGCTAATAAATATATTTGTTTGATGTGTCCAGAAAATGGAAAACTTATATGTGGGCCTGAGCCAAATCTGCGAAAACATATATTTCATATTCATAAAAAACCGGAGTACCTTTACAATTCTCAAAAAAAAAATTGCTCAAGATCAATTCCTCGAAACGCAGAACAGAGGTGAAATAGATGAAGCCATAATAAATTGTATTATTCAAGATAGCCGCCCTTTCAACGATTTTCATAAACCTGGTATGCAACTTCTTCTAAACATTCTTGCTCCGCATTACAAGCCGCCTCATAGAAAGACAATAGCTAATCAATTAAGAAAACGTTATTATCAATACAAGAACGATCTTAAAGCTAAGCTTAAATTAGTTGCCTACATAGCACTAGCAACAGATTTGTGGAAAAATCGAGTTGGATCGTATTGGCTTTGCATAACAACGCATTACTTAACAAAAAAATTTAAATACAAATCAAAAATAGTTTGTTTTCGTAGGTTTTATGGAAGGCAATTAAGTAATAGACTTACAGCATTTGTACAAAAAGAAATTAATAAACTTGAAATTGAATCTAAAATTATTTCAATTACAACTGACAACGCTGAAGATATTAAAAAGGTGATGGGATCTATTGCTTTACGACTTTCATGCATTTGTCATAATTTAAATCTCGTTTTGATCCATGGAATCAAATTGTGGATTAAACCATCACATAACTTATTAGATAGCACAGCAGATGTAGATGAAGTTTTTATATATTACAATAATTATAATGAAAGCAATATCGAATCAAATGGAAATAGTTCACCTGACGATCAAGAAGAAATTGCATGCACTTATGACAAAGAAGACGTTAGCTCAGATGATGAAGAAAGTAGCGAGGAGGAGCAGGCGTCAACCAATGAAAATGTTGAACAGTTATTCATTTATTCATCAAGCATATTATTCAGGTTAAGAAAGACGATAGCTAATGTTAAACAATCTTCTGTTTTGCAATCATTTGTTTTTAGTGAGATTAAGAAGCAGGGACTGAAATTAAAAAACTTTTCTTCAGATTTTCATGTACGTTGGAACTCAACGTTTTTGATGATTAGTATGATAATAAAAGCGAAATATGTTTATAATAAAATTACCCAAGATCCTGGCACTATCGATGGGTTAACAGAAAAACAGGTTAATAAACTCAAGAAACTAGCTTTGTTATCAGATGACTGGAAGTTCCTAGACATTTTACATTATAACCTTGCTCCATTTTTTGAAGCAACTAAATTTCTCTCTACTAAAAATTTTCCAACACTTTCTTCAGCAAAATTCGTCCAAAATACGTTAAAGAACTTTCTTGAAAATGAATCTTCAGCTAAATGTTTTCTTTTACAACCATCTCCTACGGTGGAAAGAGAGAACATGTTACGAGCTAGTCTTCTCAAGTTCATAAAGGTATACTTTGTTGAAAAGATGTCTACAAAACAAAAGCTGCAAAGTTTGCTAGCATGTTTCTTTGATCCGAGAACAAACGAGTGTCTTACAGAAAAAGAATATCAAGAAGCAGAAAGCAAACTTATGAAAAAATTTGCAAAGTCAGCACTCCGACAATATCCTCGAAGATCAACGCATACAAACATTTGTTTGCAAAATGAACAAAATTATTCGAGAAGTGGTTAGTTATAAACCAAAAATTTATTTTTGTTAAAAAACATTTGTTTTTAAATTTATATAAAAATTTTACTTTTTTTACATTTTCAGTGTTGTTAAAAAATAGATTACATTTCAGCTAATATAAAAACTTGTTTTCATTTTTAGATATGATTGATTCAAGTAATGATGTTCAATTTCATGTTTCACCTGAAGTTCCTGTTAAACGCAAAAATGGGTTTGCTAAGCTTGCAACATTGTGTGGTTTTAATCTGTGCGAAGAAAAAACACAGTCAAAGCGAAATATAAAAGAGGAGTTATCCTTTTTCAATTATACTATAAAAGCAAAAACTTGGAAATTCGATGAATTTTGGTACAAGTATGAAAACGATATTCCAATGTTAGCCTCTAAAGCAAGAGAGGTATGTACTTCACCTGCTAGTTCGGTACGGCCAGAATCCTCATTTAGTGTTGCTAACTTTATTCATCGCAAAGAAAGAAGTAACTTAAGCTCGAGAAACTTGCGGTACTCGATGCTACTTAAAGAGAAGAGTTGAAATTTTACTTTAAAATTTTGTATTTAACTGAAAACGAGGAAAAGTATTTTAACCAGTATTTTAAAAAGTATTTTGCTTTTTTGAACCATCCTACTAAATTTGTTATATTAAACAAATTAAAATAAGCGGTTGTTGTAGTTATGAAAAGTTATAAATTTTTTTTAAGTTAATTTTAAAGTTACTTTTACTATTTTAACTTTAACTTTTTTAATGTTATTTACATCAGTTATTTAAATATTTTTTTTAAAAGACTGTCTGGTTTATTGTTCTTGCTTTGGAAATGGCTATGCATTTTGCAATTTTGTTCTAAGTTTTGCATTTTGGCTTCTTTTATTCAGCGTGGTTGTTGTTAAAAACCAATCTAACCAAATTCAAAGTTATTTCTTGAAATGACTAACTAGAAAAATTGTTAGATAATAGAATAATAAAAGAATAATTAATGTCTGGAATAGGCTATTTGAAATTAGTTAATTCCAGACAAGAGTTTTATGAATAGATATTAATAAATAAACAAAAACAAAAAAAAAATTTCATTTCTGTTAGAGTGGTTGTTACGACCAGGACCAGGGTGGTGAAGGGGGTATCACACCCCAAGCTGTTATATATGCATTTGAGTTAGCGCATTAGCGTTAACAACAACCACACTGATTAAGAGAAGCAAAAAGCAGCAGCATAGCTACAAATATGCAGGACTCTTTTATGGTAAATTTTTATCAGGGCCATTAACTTATTTCCTCCCGACAAAAAAATTAATACTAAAACAAATAAATCAAAAAAAAAAAATGCCTTTTTAAAGGTTTTTTGCAAAAATCATTCTTTCTAAAAAGTTAAAGACCTCAATTATTAGAGAAAAACAAAATATTAGAGAAAAAAATAAAGGGTACAACCTTCTTTGCAGGAAACAAATTTAACATGCAATTTCATTGGGACTACCCAAATGCTGTCATGATAAAGTAAGATCAAAGTAAAGTCTAAAAGATAAAGTAAAATAATTATAAAAAAAAAATAGATGCTAAAAAGTGGAGTTCTCCAGTGGGCTCTGAAAACAATTTTAAAATTTACTTTTATTAAATTTACACATATGCTGGAAGTTTTAGAGCTCTAGCTAGTCCGGAAGGTAGTGAAAAATCAATCGCAAGATTCCGGGACAACTGATAGCCGACAAACATCTTGTAAAGTCAAAATAAAGTTTATTCTAAAGCGCTATTTTAATTGAATAAGATTTTTTTGTCCTATTGTCCTTGTGCGGGTTGGACACCAACGCAACAAAAAGTAGGTTATTAGGGTGCCCACAACCTATATAAGAAAATTAAACAGCTTTTCTTACCATCTTTTTTCAAATAGAAATTTCATTATATATGATAAAACGCAATAAAAGGTTATATCTGATAAACACTTCTTTGATCATATAAATTATAACTTATAGTTTAAATGACTTATAATATTTTGAAAACTGTTGTAGCAGTCGATGTCCTTGCGGGTACCAAAATTATTATATTGCGTCATATTACCATAACAAAATACTTGCAAATAAAAAGAAAAAAACTGGAGAAAAAGCGCACTTTAACAAACAGTGACTTAGTCAGGTTTACACATGCATGAATTACCCATAGCTAAGAAATTATGCTCCCTTCCTCCCCCGACAAAGTTTCATTATGGCCACTAACCTATTTCTACTTAACAAAAAAAAGAGAAATAAAAAATCAATGGTTATTTACCAGCTTCTATTAGCACTCATGCATGACTATATATGCCTCTAATTATAATAGAACTACCGTTTTTGATATACGTGAAAAAATTTTTTTTTCTCCACCACATACTTGCCCACATACCTGAAGTAGTACCCAGAAGTGCCCTCTAACAGAAAATGGATTTGAATACGCTACCTATCTCAAAATTTACGTTAAATCAACATTAAATGACTGTTCTTTAAGAAAGTAAATAATGTAACCTACATTTTACTTACTTACAAAGTAAAGTATAAAATTTCAAAGAAAAAATTACTTTTATTTGTAAAAGTAATTTGTTGTTATGATGTAGTTTTATTTTACTTGGTAAAGTAAGTGTTATATTTTTTAAATATTTTATTTACGTAAGTTTACTTCATAAATAACTTTTTTTACATTTAAAAAGTAAATTACATTTCGATGTAAATTTTTTACATAGTTATAACCAAAATTACTTTTGAAAGTAATTTACTTTACACGACTTACCATTAAAAGTAAGTTACTTTTACAAGTAAAAATAAAAATGCAAATAACTTTTACTTGTAAAAGTAAATTACTTTTTCAAGTAACAATTACTCATTTAAAAAACTTAACTTAAGTAATTAAGTTTTACACGTTATATAATTTACGTAAAAAAAAAAAACGAATTACTTTTAAATGTAAGTAAGTTATATATTTTTATATAAGTTATGTAAAGTAATTTGCGCTTAAAAGTAAATCGCGTTTTTACATCAAAATAAGTAAAAGTGCCATCCCTATTTGTGACTAATTACAATCAGCAAAAATAATTTCAATACATAAAAGTGGCGATTACTCGATAAAACCAAACTACAGACTTGCCGAACAATCCATACTTTCCAAAATACTAAGCGTATTTTGTAAAACTGGATGTAGGATAAGGCGGGACAGGTTCGTCAGCTTTTACTTTAATAAAATGAATTTTTATATAAATATGTAAATATTTCTAGTTTAAAAACATTTTTTTATTAATTACGGTCTCTACTTTGTTAATGTGTTGAATTAAAATAAATTCTAGAGTTACTGGGCCGTGTGAATAAAAATTAGTTATTGCTTTTACTTAATAATTGGTCAGCTCTACCTGAATAAAAATTTGAAGAATTTTAATTAAGTTTTTATTTACGGAAATCTGAGCAACAACTGAGTAAGTTGCTTAACTTTACGTGAATAAAAGTTTGAGCAAAACTGTTAAGGTTTTTATTTACGTAAAGCTGACCAATTACTGAATTAAAGCAATTGCTTATTTTTATTCACCCGGCCTACTTTTGCATAGATTTTTTGAACATCAAGTTTTTTTTTGCATAGAGTTTTTTTTTTTTTGTCATATATCAAAATTTACAATGAAATAAATCGTGTTAATAAATAAGAGAGCTGGAGCAAGCAGAAGACATAAATTGTTTTATCATCAAACCCCATCAATAAATTTACATTAGAAAATCGTCAGTTAACAAACAAAAATGAAGATTAGCTAAGGGGTCGTCCATAAATTACGTCACGCTATAAGGGGAGAGGGGGGGTTGGTGGTTTTGTGACGACTCATTCAAAACTCGTTTCTTAAGTGTTACGATTTTGTGACGAGGGGGGGGGGGTAGTTCAAAAACGGTCAAAAATTGCGTGACGTAATTTATGGACAACCCCTAAGTACATAATAAGAATTTTAAACACGTTAGTTGCAATATAACTAATAATCTAAATATTAATACGGCAATGAATATTATTATTATTAGTGCACATAGTTACGCATTGTTACACCTATTGTTCGTTTTGTTAATTATGGTTCTGTATTATGTAAAATATACTACTTCTTAGTTTTTAAGTTGTTTCTAGACTTTTCTAAGCGCGGTTATATATTCTACGCGGTCTTTCGAGTAAAATTAGCAAGCAAATTGGAGCTGATGCACTTATTTTCAAGAAGAATTGATGTTGTTCATTTTTTAAAATAAAAATTTAAATAATTGTTTGTTTGTTGTTGCCTATTTTCATTTTTTCTCATTTTTATAGCCTGTTTTTATTTTTTAAAAGAAGTTAGAACTGAAATGTTTGGTAAAATTTTTTTTTTAGTAAAATGTTTCTTTTTTAGTAAATTGTTTCATTTTGTCATTAGACTTTTTAGAACATTTTAAGCAAGTATTATTTTATTGTTCAGAGCAGTTAAGAGAAGCTAATGGCTTTTTTAGAAAGTTTAATTTGTTTTCTTATTTATAGATTAAAATTGTTTTTTGTAAGATATAAATAAAAAATAAAGTTTTATGTATTTAATATGAAAAGTTAAATAAAATAAGACTGTTATTTGTGTTCTTGTAAGTTTGCTTTTATTTTAGTCTATTTTATATTTCTCTATATCTATACTGTATGTATATTTTCCCTTAGCAAAAATAATTGAGAATAGAAAAATAAAAAAAATTTCTTCTGGAATTTGTCAAAAGAGTGTTGTGTTATGCTTCATTTTAAGGTATCTAAATATGTATTTATTTTTCATTTTTTAGAAGAAGTTAAAACTAAATTGACTGGTAAAATAGTTTTATTAGTACAATGTTTCTTTTTTAAGAAAATTGTTTCAGTTTTGTCGTTAGTCTTTTAAAAACATTTTAAGCAAGTTTTTATTTTTATTTTTTAGAGCAGTTAAGAGAAGCTGATCGCTTTTTTAGTAAGTTCAATTTATTTTCTGGTACATAGATAAGGATTTTTTTTTATAGGAAGAATAATGAGAATAAAATTTCATTTATGTATTTAATATGAAAAGTTAAACAAAATAAGACTTATTTGTTGTCATGTAAATTTATATACATAATTTGCGTTTATTTCAGTCTATTTTATATTTCTCTATATCTATATGTATATTTTCTCTAAAGAAAAATATTAAGGAATAGAAAAACTAAGAATATATCTTCTAGAATTTGAAATTAGAAATTTTTAATTTTGTTCTTAAATAGTTTCTTCTTTTTCAGTACTTTAGATAAAGATATACTGACTGATATAACTTCATTTTTATTAACAATTTTGTGCATTTTTGATCTATAACATTTTTTCTCTTAAAAAAATCATTGCATTATTTTAAAATTATTCGCTTGAGCATGTTCCAGTGTGGCCGAGTGGGTTCGATTCCTACCAATGGTAGTTTTTTTTATTTTTTTCGATTATTTTAAAATACAAAATACTTTTTAAGTTTTATAAAGATTATATACAAACATATGTAACGTAACGATATTATACACTTTCACCAAAGAAAAGATTTTAAGAAAGCTAAAATTTCATAAAACATCAAAAAAAAAACATCACCGGGAGAAAAATTTGTTGCGTATGTATGATGATTGAGACACTTATGTTATTAATGTGCTCAGGTAATTAGTCCTAATAAACTGCGGATGGTCTGAAA